CGGCTCCCGCCGGGCCCGGGGCCGGGGCCGGGGGGGCGCGGGGCGGGCGCGGGCCGGCGCTGCGGGAGGGGGCGCGGGTGTCCGCGCTGTGCCTCGCCTGGTACGGGCTCAGCGCCGGCGGCAACGTGGTCAACAAGCTGCTGCTCGGCGGCTTCCCCCGGCCCGTCACCGTGTCGCTGTTCCACATCCTGGGGCTCTGCGGGCTCCTGCCGCCGCTGCTCCGCGCCTGGAGGGTCCCGCCCGCCGGCCCCGCGCAGCTGCCGCCCCGCGCGTACCCGCGGTACATCCTCCCGCTCGCCTTCGGGAAGTATTTCGCCTCCGTGTCCGCGCACGTCTCGCTCTGGAGGGTCCCGGTGTCCTACGCGCACACGGGTGAGGATCGAGGGGCGGGCGGTGCCCGGGGGGTACCTTGACCCCGGGGGGATGTCCTGGGGCCCTGCATTTGCTTGTTCTGGTGCCCAGCGTGGTGACCTGAAGCCCCGTGTGTGTTCATGTCGGTGCCCAGTGCAGTGTCCCAGTACCCGGAGTGTGCTGGTACCAGATCCGGGTGCAGTGACCTGAAGCCCCGTGTGTACTTATACGAGTGCCCAGTGAGTGTCCCAGTCCCACTGGGTGCTCCTGTGGTTGCCCAGTGAGGTGTCCCAGTGCCCAGTGGGTGCCCAGTGCCATGTCCTGGTCCCCGGTGGGTGCTGGTGCCAGATCCAGGATCCAGGACCTGGTGTGTGCTCCTGTGGGTGCCCGGCACAGTGTCCCAAAGCCCCAAGACCCAGGCTGTGTTTGTAGCAGTGCCCAGCAGGGCAGGGATATCCCAGCGTGGCCCAAGGTGTCCCCATGGATGTTTTCCTCCCGTCCCCAGTGAAAGCCACGATGCCGATTTGGGTGGTTCTCCTCTCGCGGATCATCATGAAGGAAAAGCAGACGACGAAGGTGCGGACAGGTTTGCTGAGGTTTCTTCTCTTGGTGCTGTTTGGGGTGTGCTGTGCTTTGGGTAGCTGGGTGGGGTTTGTGACTGGAATTAGATTATGCAGATTTTACAAGTTCCTTTTCCTTTTATTAAGAATGTAAAACATGAACACTGAGCAAGGTGATGCTCTGTAGTGTCTATTTTAGTTACTTAATTTCCTTGAGCTACAGCAGTATAAAAGTTGATCCCTGGTTCTGTTGCTTTATTCGTCCTTCTCCTTTCCCCCCTAAATCATCAGGAGGTATAAACTGGGTTGAAATTAAAGTTCTTAGAAGATGCAAGGTACTCCTCTCTTCCTCTCCCAGGTGTACCTGTCTCTGATCCCCATCATCACTGGTGTCCTGTTGGCCACTGTCACAGAGCTTTCCTTTGACATGTGGGGACTCATCAGTGCCCTTGCTGCTACTCTGTGCTTTTCCCTTCAGAACATCTTCTCAAAGAAGGTAACACTTCTGCTCTTCACAGTGTTGCTCAGTAGCATCATTCTTTAGCGGACAGTATGTACTTGGAAGTACATTTATATGTATTTTTAGTTGATTTTACAGTCAAAGGAGGCCAAAGGGATGGTTGCTGTTTCATGTGCGTGTTCCTGCAGCTCTTCCTACCTGTTGAAGCTGAAAACTGTGCAGAACTCGGAGTTTATCCTGAGCCTTTTCTTTACTCCTCATAATGGATATATTTTTTTCTACTGACACTTCAATAGTGCTTAAATTTTACAGTTCATTTGAAAGCTTTTAATGTATCTTGTATCAAATCTTTTCTCTGTAGTGAGCGACTCAGTGTCAACACTGGGCCCTCCTTGAAATCTTAGAAACAAAATTAAAGTGTGTGTCTTGGCTCTAGTTAGTTACAAAATGATTTCTGGTTTGTAGAGCTTTTAAAATATATTAATATCTTGTCAATACCAAGAGTCACCACTCAAAAAAATGTATTTTTTTTCAAATGGACATCTGCTTTTCTTTGGTCAGGCTTATAAGAAATTCATACTCTGACAGTATTTGCTTATTTTTCTAATTTATCTGTCACCTAAAGCTGTTACTGTGTCTTTATTGCTGTTCAATAATGGCTTTTGTCAGGTGTTAAGAGATTCCCGAATCCATCATCTTCGGTTGCTGAACATCCTCGGGTGCCATGCTGTGTTCTTCATGATCCCAACGTGGGTTTTGGTAGATCTTTCTTCCTTCCTAGTGGAGAATGACTTGGTAAGTGTCGTATTTGGGAGGAGGAACTGTTTGCTATTAAGAAAGGAGTTCAGTAAAGTAAATCAAACCCAACAAGGAACGCCACCGCCCAACCGAAAAAGTGCTCTGAAGTGTTTCAGTGTAGTTCCTTATCAGCATGGAAGGAAATGTTGTGAAACACCTGCAGGTTGTTTCACAAACAATGTACACAGTGTTTATCGTGAGAATTCCTGTCAGGGTTAGGAGAGGCAGCTTATGGGAACAGTGTGAATCTTGGGAGCCGGAGACGGGAACAAAGGCTCCCGAATGTGTGGGGCAGGTGCATCCTCTGGGTTCTCTGAGTTGGTACTTGCACAATGCTCGTGCTTGGGGCCCCTTTAGAGTGAAGCTGAGAGATCCCTCCTGCCAGTGGCAGGTACGAAGTGCCTCAGGTTGTGTTTGTGTTGTTACCTGAAACCTGAGATAATTTTTTTTCTCCTCCTGTTTGCTTTAACACAGAGCTCGATGTCTCATTGGTCCTGGACCTTGATGCTGCTTGTAATCAGTGGGTTCTGTAACTTTGCCCAGAACGTCATTGCCTTCAGTATCCTCAACCTGATCAGCCCCCTCAGTTACTCTGTGGCCAACGCCACGAAGAGGATCATGGTGATCACGGTGTCCCTCATCATGCTGCGCAACCCCGTCACGAGCACCAACGTGCTGGGGATGATGACGGCCATCCTCGGGGTCTTCTTGTACAACAAGGTGAGGGGCTGCTTTGTTTACTCAGGAAATGCAGTTATAACACTCCACTAGCTTTGAATTATTTTTTGTACAACAAAAATGGCATAAAAATGTGGAGCACGGGGTGTAAAGCTCCGTTGCAGAGCGTGGCCCAAACGAAGGACTTGGGCGCTTGGGTCTCTCAGAAACTTCAATTTTGATCTTAATGTTTTCTTGAAAAGGGAAGATTGGGAAGTAACTCAAGCCTTTTGAGCGAAAGAGCAGCTTGTGTTCATTTAGCATGTGAGAGGAATTAGGTTTTTATTAGAAGCCATTAATATTTTAAGACTCTTAACAGGCATAGAGAGTGATTAATTGTAGAATTATTTATAGATTAATTGTTTGCTTTTTTGGGGTGTATGAGTATGTCAGGTGGCATTTAAGAAAATCTGTCTCCATGGAAGGGGTTGTTAGACATTGGAAGGGGCTGCCCAGGGAGGTGGTGGAGTCCCCACCCCTGGAGGTGTCCAGGGAACAACTGGACGTGGCACTCAGTGCTCTGGGCTGGGTGACAAGGTGGGGATCGAGCACAGGGGGGACTCGATGGTCCTGGAGGTCTCTTCCAACCTTAGTGATTCCATGAAAAACATTCTTTCTCCCTTTCCCAGACAAAATATGATGCAAACCAAGAAGCAAAGAAGCAGCTGCTTCCAGTCACAACTGGAGACCTTGTGAATTTGGAACGGCATCGAAACCCTCCTGAGAAGTCTCAGAACGGACTCACAGGGTTTGCCCAGCACGGAGACCTTCAGTACGGCCGGACCAACGTCCTCACAGACCACTTCCAGTACGGCCGGCAGAGCTACCCCTCCACCTACAACCTGAACCGTTTTGATATCTAGAGTCCTGGCAGACAGGTACAGACTGCGAGGTCAAAGTGTCCCCAGCATTATCAGAGACTGTCAGTACATCCATGAATGTCACAAAGCCATTTACTGTGCGCGTTTGGCAGCAGGGCAGCTGCGTGTGTAGGGGAGCGGCACAAACCTGCAGCTGCTGCTGGGCAGAGCTTTAAATGTGGAGCAGCCAGAGCTGAGACTGGAACCAAACCTTGTGCAGAGATCCTGGTGAGGTGCTCGTGTGTAACTGCAGAGTGGAACATCTGTCACTGCTCCTTTCAAAGTCTGTCAGCTGGTTATTCTCTTGACAGCTGAATTCTGGCCAGTATCTCGTTTCCACGCTGGTAACGTCACCTTTAATTTGTTCTCTAATAATGTTTTAATGATACTTTTAATGAAGCTTTCGGAAAGAAGTGGAAGTGAAGCATATTTCTGGTTATCAGGATCTGTCTGAGGAGGATTGACTGAGGTGTCTCGGTTGCAGACAAGTAAACCTGAGTTCATCTCCAGCATCCGTGGAACTCCACCTGGGTGTTCACTACTCTCGTGCCTCTGCCTTCAGCCCTGGAGGACAAACCAGAAGTGTTTCTGAAGGAGCAGACAGTGGAAGGATTGATCTTCCCCAGAACTGTGCTTCAGGCACAGAGAAACAGTTCTCCACATCACTGTTGCCCCGGTTGCTGTAGGGAACAGCCAAGCCAAGCTTAAAATCGTAGTTGTTTCTGAATCATGTAAGTCCTGTAACTTCAGACATTGCTCTTCCTTGGCCATGCAGGAAACTCCTTCACAAATAAAGTGTTTGGAATAATATGATTTTATTTTTTACTTGCTTCACACCTGTTCTTCCAAAACTCTTTTGTTGCTTTAGAGATTGAGGGATATAAGGTGTTTTGTTCTCAGTTTTAAGCATACAATATGATTCATATCTTATGAATGCATTGATTTGAATAATCATAATTCTTAATTGTTTCTTGAGTCTTTTTAGCCCCTAATTGTTTTGGGGTTTTTTTAATTTCTTAATTACTGCTGTTGGAGTAGCTGTGTGGATTTAGCCTGACTTCCACTTTCTGCTGAAAGAAGTTAAATTTTGTATCCTGTGCTGTTCCTGCAGCTCTCCTGGCTTGAATAGGAAACTAAGGAGAAATTATTTGAATCAGCAGTAAATAGATAGTTTATGGTTAAGAGCTGATTCAGTATAAATGGACATAATTAATTTCTAGGCAAGGTGATTGTGTGTGTCAGGTACTGCATTTCTGCATGGAGTGAAATTCCTTTGAATGAAGTGAAACCCAACTTTGAACCTGGGTTTCACTGAATCAGATTTTTGTTATTGCTTTAGCAAAAAGATTTTTAGGGGCCTTCTTTCCTTCCCAGACAAGCTGTTGTACAGGGAGACATTGATAGCATAAGTATTATGCTTTTACTAGAGGGGTGATAGACACCAGTGACAAAATTCAGGGTGTGACACAGAACACTCCCTCCTCTTATTTATTGCTTTACAAGTGACCATTTCCATGGTGTGAGATGATGACTTGGCTCCTTTCTGGATAATAAAGAATTTATTTTTTAAAGTGCAAAATCAAGCTGAATCTTTACTCTTTTGGCTGCTGGGGTGGCAGTTACATAAACAGCCTTCCACCATACAGTCCAAAAGAGGAAATGGTCCTTCTGAAACTTCAGAGATGGGTTCAATTTGCTGCTGCTGTGTGTGAGCAGAACTTCCTTGCCTTGACTGGAGTCCAATCTGTTCATGTAGCTTAGAACTTGGGCTTTTAGGTTAGAAAATCTAAATAAATCTGTCCCTAACCAGGTGAGCAAGGTCACGAGGAGAGCTTTCTTTCAGGTGAAAGAACTGCCCGTTCCAATATTAAAATATGTATAATTGTTTCTTTTTAATATGGGAAAGTGCCAACCGTGTATTTCTGAGGCTCACTTCCCAATATTTAGATGCTTTTCCATACATGTAAAAAGGATTTTGTGGGCTCTGGGTTTGGATCAGGTGCTGACTCTGCAAAATTTGAGGGTGAGAGATTTAGGCTGAGATTCTCAAGAGGAGCTGAAGTTCAGCTGCTTTCGAGGGAAGCTGGGTGTGACCTCTTAGACACCTGCAAACATTGAACTGTGTTCTTTGTGCCTGTTTCCCACTGGGGAAATGGAGATGATTCTTCCCTACTTCATTTCACCCTGGGGGGGGGTGAAATACCAGAAAAAAAGTAGCATTGGGACCCCAGGGATGTCCAGGGGTAACATGAATTCATCTGTACTCGTGTTGTCTGCTGTGCCACCTTCATACAACCCCAGCTGTAACGTGGAGCTAATCCCCACAGATCAGAGCCTTTATTAAATACATTTAGATGATTTCATTTTAAAGAACATACCCAGACCTTTTTTGCAACAGTTCTCATAGAAAGCTTGCACTGCACATTTACTGTGGCAGGTCTTTAGCTCAGGTTTTTCTTTCCAGCCTGGCAGCAGGTTGTAGGGCTTTCTGTTCAAAATTACTTGTCCCAAATTCCAGTCTGGGCTCGTGGCCTCGCTGTGTCTCTGAAGTAAAGCTCCTGTGCTTGCAAAAGGGGGCTGACCCAAATGAGGATATTGTCTATTTAGGGCCCAGAGAGTGAATCCCTTCCCTGGAGACTCCTGGCAGTGCTCCTGCTCCTGCAGTTCAGGTCTGTGGTCAACAGGGATAATTGTGTGTGGTACAAGGTGTAATTAAAACGGTCGAGCAAGGCTGTTCCAGGAGATGGTTTTGCTGAATCCTGAATCCCAGTCCTTAAGCAATATTGTCCACATTCAGGGAAAGGAAGTTTCTGATGCTGTTGTAATAAATATTTTAAATCTTGGACCTCTGTGGGATTTTGTTTGGCAAAGTGGAACGTTTGTTTTAACATGGCTTGTAAATTAATGACGCATTTAACTCTGTACATAGGTGTGTAGAAAGTACGGAAACACTGGAATAAAAAGGGCAAATCCAGACAATCTTGTATAATGACCCTGCTATTAAAGCCAGGAGGGTTGGTTTGGGTTTATTCCTTGCCACCTGTGAGGAGCTGGGTTGATGTTTTGCTGTGTGGGTGATGCCTCTCTGGGTGGTTGCAGAGCTCCTGTAACCAGGGTTAGGACACCAGTGACTGGTATCCTTTGAGATGTTTTGATTTCCATGATGCATTTTTAACATGTAAATACGTCACAACATTGGGAAATTCTTCCCAAAACAGTCCTGGACAGTTCTGGAAGTATCAAACCAAATCTCTCCCTCTGTGTGGGTTTTCTGTTGGTGGTTCCAAAGAGTATTTGGTGCTCTCTCAAGAGATCTTCAAAATATTTCCCTTGCAGATTCAATTTTAGTACCCAGTAGTGGTTAGAGCATCTTTATCATCTGGTAAAATGCTTGTGGTTTTAAAAGAACTGGATGCTGAATAAAATTGAGGCAATACTTAGGACTTGTAGGTGTAGAGTGATTTATAAAAATAGTACCAGTAATTTGGGGTCAACTCCTGATGATTCCTGAAAATCAAAAGCTTTCCTTTCTACTCTGTGTCCAAACCCACATTTTTCTGATGTAGCATTTTTGCAGCAGAAGGAACTTCTGCCACGTAGCTCTTTGTGAAACAGGTGCAAATATAAATAAAGGGGAAGTTCTGTTTTTTCCAAAGCTTGAATTTCTGAGCCGTGTTGTGGAGCTGTTAAAAACAAAATCGAGAGCTCTTTGTGGTGACAGCCCAGGCCAGTGAAACAAATCTTTTAACCCTGAAGTGACTGAAAAAAAAAAAACAAAACCCTTTTTATTGCTTTTTTTATATTAGAACTCTAAAAATTGATGTGAATATGGGTGGGTTTACAAAAAAAGCCTCCCAAGCAACCCCACACTCCTTTCTGGGTGAAATCCTGCCCTTCAGCAAATGAACACTTTGGTGTTGTTTTCCTGCTCTTCAACTCCTGTCCTGTGGAGTTCTGGATGTCACTGGGCCAGATGCTCCCTGTGGATATTGCTGGGATCCCATATGGGATACAAGGGATTCCACGATGGGAATAACCCCACTGGGGACTTCCAGGTGCTGGGACTCCTTCCTGCCTTAAACCAGGTGTGAGGATGGTTTTTGGCAGACACCTCTGCGGCTTTTGGGGCATTTGGGGGATAAGCTGAGGAATGTGGCAGCTGAAGGGTGTCCGAGCAGGCTCCGGTGGAAAACCAGGAATGCTGGTGTTGGGATGGAAGGTGGCAGCAGGAAAACTTACAAAAGCCAAAATTTGAACCTTATCTGGTCTTTTGGGGTCTGTGAACCTCCAGGACTGCAGAGTGACTCGGAATCATGGGCAGAGCCCGTATTATGATCCTTTTTTTTTCATTTGTAATTTGGAGATGTGGGAACATCCATCTTCCCGAGGTTTTATATCTGTAGATGATGCAGTGGGGTCTTCATGGTATGTCTTGTTAATAATAAACAGTTCTGCCTCTTTGTGAGGAAGTCTGAGTGTCCTCTGTGTGATGGGGAATCCTGTGGAGTGAATTTAATGCCTGAGACTGAAGAAGACAGTGATTCCAGATCCAGCTTGGATATTGAGTTTGGCTTTCGGCCTCGGGTGATTCCAAGGTGATCCCTTCCACCTGTAGATTCAGTTTTACCTAAAATATCAAAGGACACCAAATTATTTGGGCCCTACTTTGAGTTTTGATGTCTAGGAAGTGGTCTTCAGGTGTGGGGGGGGGGGTTGTGGGGTTTTTTTGAGTCGTGGAAGTGGAGAAGTTGAGCCATTTCTGCCGTGCCTTGGACCCTTTGGCTTGGATGTAAAAGTGATCCCTCAGCACCTTCCTTTTGAAGGACTGGTTTCCTCAATCCCACAGGTATGTAAATGTGGTGTATTTTTAATCCCACGTGGAAAAACAACAGGAAACTTCCCTTGCACCCTTTCAGGTGCAAAAGGAAAGTTAAGGACCAGAAATGAACATTTTTGCTTTAACTACATAAAGAAATGAAGTCACTTAACAGCAAGAAGTGCCTGTTTAATGTCCTTGTGTAGCATCTGCACTTTCATTCCTCACCAGCTGTGTTTCTGGTTCAGTTTGCTCTCCACTGAGCTTCCCACACATCCGTGTTCCTTTTTCCATCATTCCTGTGGCATCTGTGGAGCTTGAGTGCTCTGGCTTGTCCCCCGAGGGGAATCAGTGCTAAATTACATGCTTGGTTTTAATTCTGTCTATTCTTTTAATGCTATTTATTAATTTCTGGCAGCTTGAGTTGCATCTTGGATTGTGGTGGTTCCAGAGCAGAGGAGGCACGTCTGCAGCTCTGCAGGTACCAGGGAGCTGAGGGGGAGAGGAGTGTAAAGATCTGTGAATGAAAAGGGTAAAAAATGCCTCTATCTTTATATCTGACAACAGAATTTACTTATAAAAATCCCTGCTTAGGTAACAGCCAAACTAAAAGTCAGGTTATTACCAGGCTCTTGATGCTTTATCAGTGTCTCAGATGCCTGGTGCTCTGAAAAATCTGTATTTAGGGGGTTATTTTCTGGGGTGGTTCAAGAGTGCTGAGAAATCTCTTCACGTCTCCCTTGTGAGATGAGCTGTTACCTCGTTTTCAGAGTGAATAACGTGGAATTATTCTGCATTTTAATCCCCCCCAAATTTTAGGTGCCCACCTGAGAATTCAGAGCCCACAGAGGTGTAGTACACTGGGTTTGTTTTACTGGCTTTGATTGCAGTGGCACCTTTCTGTGGGTCAAAATTAAGGTTCTGATGGGATGCCAAAAAAAAAATTATTTTCACTAAAATTAAAAATTCATTTGACTAGAAATGTAAAAATTTTAAAATTAAAAAATTTAAATTAACAATAAAAAAATTTAAAATAAAAATAAAATTTTTAATTTAATCCCAAAATTAAAATGTTAACATTAACCCAAAAATTAAAATTTTAGAATTTAAAAAAATAAAGAGTTATAATCGATTCGAAAATTGAAATTTTAAAATAAAAGAACAAAAATTTAAAATTAGTTTGAAAATCAAAATTTTAACGTTAAAAAAATTAAGATTGATTTGGAAAATTTAAATTTTAACATTAAAAATTAATTCGACTAAATCTCGAGGCGTTGTTCAACCCTAGTTATCTGTTTAAATAACTAATAATGCAGACTTTTGACCTGCAGCGCGTCAGGCACCTCCCCAGTAGCACTCCACTCCGTTCTAACTCTCACTCGAGCAGCGGAACCGCCTCTTTATCCCTTATTTCCTTACAATTGTTCTTCCCTCCCCTCACGCCGGTCCCGCCTCAGGGACGGGCAGGGCGGGAGGGGGAACCACGTGACCTGCGCCGCGCGCCGTTTCCATAGCGACGCGGCCGTAAAGCGCGGCCGCGCGGGTGTCGCACTGCCGTCGGTGCGGCGCGGCCCAGCGACCCCGGGACCCGCGGCCATGGAGATGCCGCTGCCGCCCGAGGGTGAGGGGGCACCGGGACCGGGGGGGACCGGGGGGGTCCGGGGGCACAACGGGGGCACCGGGAGGGAGCGGGGCCTGACGGCGCCGCCTCCCCACACAGATCAGGAGCTGCGGAATGTCATCGACAAGCTGGCGCAGTTCGT